ATATATATATATATATTTATAATAAACTTCGAAGATGCTACAAATTGGCTTCCAAACGCTCACTTTACCAACACATTAGTTTATCGTGGTTTCCGTTTCTTTATTTACAAATGTTCTTTCACTAGTTTATGATGGGAAAAAGCATTTTAAACAGTGATGAGCAAGAAAATTAAAAAATTTACCAGTTTTCTGCTACAATGCTGAAATGTTAGTGCAACAAGAATCGTTATGCAATATTCTACCGCCTGGTAAGCTATAATAATTTCAACCTACTTGACAAATGATAATGACGCTATCTACGTATATTTTTTCAGTATTTAATATAATTATTACATGCCTCATAGCTATGCAGTGTGTAATGTTTGTTTGTTTGTAAGGGTTCGTACCGCACTGACAATAAACTTGTAGCATTCCTGTTGAGGCTTAAGACATACAGCTGTTACTAGATCAAACACGTCAAATATTTAATACGAAGCATTGTAACATTATTGAGATAGCTACCCAGTGGATCAGAGGCAAGTCAGAAGGCTTATAGCGTTAATAACCGGGTTTCGATACTTGCAGTGGGCACACCACAGATAACCAGTTGGTAGACTGATAAAACGTAAAATAGTAAATCATTATTTTTCATTCCACTCTGTTAAACTATCCAGAAAACTAAATAATTCTTCCAATTAGAATTGTGCGAAATGCTTAGTAGGTAGTGACGCACAACTCTTATAACTGGAATAAATAAATATAAATATATTTATAAGTATAAATAAATGTATCGCTTATATAATTTTTTATCAAAAAGTCGCGAACAAAAACGTGCAAACAGCATATATATATGTTATCCTTCCTTTGATATTTTGGTTAAGACACCACATAACACTATCTTTATATGGTACTTCAGGAGTTGTGCTACCATCTGTCCGGAACAGAAAAGTAACACAAGTCCTATCACTGTCATTTGTTGCACGACTTCGTATATGACAATCTACATTATATATTTTAAGTTACAAGTCTTTACGTCTGACGATAATTCTTATGCAGATATAAATATTACATTACTCTTAATTATTTTAAAAATTGTGTACAATAAGTATTAACACCTTGAATCCAGTAATGTACCTTGTGATTAATAATGATGACACAAAACGGTCAACGAAACTATATAAAACATACACACACACACAGTGCTCACTATACGTTCACTACAGAACAGTGTTATGAAACGGAACTTTCTTTGTTAAAAGCAAATTATATATATATGTATATATTTGTTTATCCAGATGAAAGTAATTTAAACGGAAAAGTTTCAAACTGAACGCACAAGCTGATCCGGTCTAATAAAACCGGTTAAACCCCTGAATAAAAGTCAAATATAACCTTTCTAAACTGAGATACAAGACGTCAAAATCACTTTTCACTTTTACGGTATTCCCTTATTTTCGTAATATCGTAAAAACACTGTATACCTCTGTTTACTGTGTCTAACCCTTTCGTTCGTTCGTTTGTCCTATCTGAAACTGTTTTTCTTTCATTATTATTGATATAGAATGAGCGTCATAAATGTGACACATTCATAAACAAACCATGACTTGCAGAAATAAAATGAAAGCTTGTTAGAACAAAAATGCCGATTGAAATTTAAAAACCTGGATCATATATAAAAACTTACTCATCGTTTGGTTGTCTTATTTTCAATGACTTTTCTTTCATTGTTACTGATGTCGAGTGACGAGCTGCAAGCATAAGCGTACATAAACGTAACACATTCATAGAAAATGTTAAACAAAATTTAGAAACTTGGATCATATATATATAATAACTTACTCCTTTTTCCTTTTTTTCAACGGTTTCTTAATCTACCTCTAACTCCCAGGGAGAAGGTGAGTACACAAACTGGTAGGAAGTCAGGCTCCTCTCTACTTCCACTTCAAGTCATTACCGGAAATTCTACTTCCGATACAATGGTTTTTATGACATCATGGAAATAAGGGATACAAAAGTGAATACTTATGCTGTTTTTGGAATCAAGCTCTCGTGTTGTCTATATTGTCCTTTTTCTCATTTAACCTTGTGATTTAGGCTGCTAGTGTTTTCGTCTTAAATTAAAATAGCATGTTTGTGGCTCGCTTACAACTATTTGCACTTCACTCTCGTCCCAGCAACTTTTGCGATAAAAAGGTTTCCTACTTGCCCAGAATTATTCAAAGTTCTACAAATACACGTGCAGGAATATGACATAAATATTTAAAACAACTGGAGATAATCTACTTCAAAGAAAATCAAATCTGCTAAATTAAACATTTTTCTTATTTATATATATGTAATCACTTCCGGCAAGTGGGTATGTATTCATTTGACTTAACTAGTAACAGTGGAAGTTATTCGTGGCTCAACAAAACACTCGACCTTTTTGCTGAACGATCCTCAATCAAGCAGTCACTCTAGTGCCAAATAAGTCTTGACGTTTCTCTACACCTCTAACACAGCAAGTTTGGCGTCTGTCCCTCGTCTTCAGCCAGAGAATGGGTATGAGATGCGCATGCTCTGTACGTGTAGTAGCTTTATCATTCAGTGCAGAAAGTTGCATATATTGTTATATTGAAAAACATAAGTACTATTCATCCCAATCATATATTCCAAAATAACACATTATTTCAAAGCACCTCGAATTCTTTTGGTGTATCTGGTGTACATAAGAACAACTCTTTATATATTCATTTTTCCAAGAAATCACTAGTAGTTCAGTAGTAAGCCTAAGGGCTTATAACGCTAAAATTTGTCGTTCGATCACTGCGACGGACTCCGCACACATAGCCACTTATGAAGCTTTACAACAAAGACAATTGTTTTTCTCTAATATTGCTGATGCCATCCATATTAATGTTTGTTATAGCTGGTATAAAATTCTGTCATATTTGTTATTTCATTCATCAGAAGTATAACTAACAAGGTATGATTATTGGGGTTTGGTTGGTATTATTTTAGTAGTATGATTATTGGGGTTTGGTTGGTATTATTTTAGTAGTATGATTATTGGGATTTGGTTGGTATTATTTTAGTAGTATGATTATTGGGGTTTGGTTGGTATTATTTTAGTAGTATGATTATTGGGATTTGGTTGGTATTATTTTAGTAGTATGATTATTGGGATTTGGTTGGTATTATTTTAGTAGAATTCGCTCAGGAGACGTTTTTCATAAAGATCCACGACATTGATAGATATGAAAAACATACATATTATAACTTTGAATACCGTATAAAGGAAATTAATGAGATGTTGAACAAAAGGTTACCAGACAATCAAATTGTTGTTGTTAATGAAAATAGTGGTCATTAGGGGCAAGAATTACTAGGTAAAATTCCGGAAAACAAAACGCCTTGAATTCTTACAGGAAATTAATATAAAACTTTCACGAAACGAAATCTCCATTTCTGAGAATTTCTTTACCAACCTGTTTTTAGTTTCCTACAGTGATGTAACAACATCAAGAGGGCGCTGAAATGAACAATTAGTTTTACATCGGATGATTTCTGCGTCAGCTGACGTTTCACTTCTATTCGTATTTCTACGTGCTCGGGAAAAAGTAATAGGAAAAATTCAACACTTTTAGAAAAGCTACGACATCTGTCATGCATTGTATTGATTTTAGTTATACAGTGTTTTGGATACTTATAGATTTGTTTCTCCTGTTTTGTCATTAGTAAATGAGCTATACAGCGGTATGTCTGTGGAGTTCTAATGCAAGATACCCGTGGTGGGCAGAACACAGATAGCCCTTTGTGTTTAATAACATATAACAACATTTGCTATATAAGGTAATGAAAAAGTAAGAAGACAAACGATAGAATACAAACTCCGTTATGTTTCCGGTTCATTGTTTACGTTTACTTTTCTTCCTGTTTCTCTTTTTTTTTATGTTACTTTTTTTCCTGTCACTTCCTTTCCTACATTCATATCTTAAGACCCTCCTTCACGAACTGAATACCCATTTTGAACAACTGCTCAGTGCATAATCTTGTTCATTCCTTCCAAGAGCTAGCCCCCCAGTGGCACAGCGGTATGTCTGCGGACTTACAACGCTAGAATCCGGGTTTCGATACCCGTGGTGGGCAGAGCACAGATAGCCCTTGTGTAGCTTTGTGCATAATTAAAAAACAAACAAACAATCCAAGAGCTAAAGGACATAGTTTTTCGTTTATTTCCTTAATTAATTTCAATAACATACGTAATTAGTGTTTTCATCCGGTTTAATAAATCATGTTCCTGTTCACATTCTCGAATTCTAAGCTTGCTTGTGTCTTATTTTTCTTTACACATTTCTGCTATTTTTATCTCCTGTGTTCATATATATATAATTGCTCTTTGTTTTTGTAACTCAGAAACTTCAGTTTCACATCATGTGTTTTTTTATCTCAGTATATCACGTCTATCAATCTAAGGTTTTAGGCACAACTAATGAATGTTCTAAAACGGAGGAAGAAAAAACTGGGGGGGGGGGGCTACATGAAAGCTGGTTGTTTCCTTCGATATCTTCAAGAATATATTTGTCTGGAATAGCAACATGTTCACTGGTTTGTTTGTTGTTGTTGTTGTTTCTAGCTTGGCTTCCTAATTACAAGAAAAAATGATGGAAAACAAATGAATAATTTAATTGTTTTCCCATCGCCATTTCTTGAGTGTTAGTGTTATCATGTTTCGGCTCCTCTGAAAAAACAGAGAGAAAGAAGTTATTCGTATTTTATGCATCTTGTAATATATTAAGCTGTATAAACAAATACATATAGTTTAATTTAATAAGTAGTATTTGGGTTATGTATTAGATATAACTTACATAGAAAATTATCACCATTCAATGAGCTAATTAAAACGTGCAAATGTTCCTTATTTGATTACTTCTGCATTATCACTGACTTTCTATACGGACTCATCCTAACAAGACTATTAAACACTGGTGGCAACGTTCAGTGATGTGTCTTTGGAAGGCAAAATTTCACTGCAAAGAAGTAGAAATTGATCAGTTTTGTTTTTCGTTTTTACTTTAAAACAAGCATTTATTTAATATTTGCGTGTTTACTTTTGCTTTCCAAGATATGCAAATTAATTCGCCTCAAATATCTCTATACAATTAGATCGAGTTAAAGAACATAGTGTGTCAAGGTATGCAGAATTTTCAAACATTTTCCGACATAAAAAAGAATGCGTGAATGCAAGTGTAAAAATTTAACAATTCCAAATTAGCAGTGGCTACGGTTAAATAAACATTAGTCATAAAGAACTTAGCACCTGAACTAAACAGGAAATCCAGCACTGGTGAGCTGGTGTTAAACGTGTGAGCAGAGAGAGAAAAATTTTGTATGTTTGAAATTACCTTGTGTTATTTATTTAAATATTAGATTTAAATTGTTGTGTGTACTTGAAAATAGCAGCTGGTCTGCCGAAAGATCAGGTTTTAGTCTTCAGTTCACTCGTTGTTTATGGTGTAATTATTTAACAGGAGGAGGTTTAAATCTTTAGTTTGCTGATGGTTCATGGTGTAATTATTTAACAGGAGGAGGTTTTAATTTTTAGTTTGCTGATGGTTCATGGTGTAATTATTTAACAGGAGGAGGTTTTAATCTTTAGTTTGCTGATGGTTTATGGTGTAATTATTTAAAACTTTTTTATGATGTAGTTTGCTGATGGTTTATAGTGTATTTGTTTAAAATTTTTGATGTATTGTATGATTTGGTTTAGGTTCAGATGTACTTTGGTGGTGAGAATCATTAGGTCAAAAAATTCTAATTTTAACTTTAACTTTGCTTTCTGATTGGATACTTTTTTTGGTGGACGGGGAATGTACCATTTGACGATCCTGCTTTCCACTAAAAATTATAGCTCTAAATTGAAACTTACATAGGATAGAGATTGCTTTGTTATTTTAGTGGTTTTCACATTTTGAAGGTATGTCTAAAACTGGAGATATGTTGTTCAAATGTAACCTTAAACATTCATTTAATTAAGGTTTTTTATTTCTTTATTGAGGTTATTCTTTTAAATTAGTTATCAAGTACTTAAGGATGTCATATATTGTTAATCTTGGTATTTGTGCAAAAGTATTTGGTTAATAGGTAACATAGATAGGCGGTAACTTAAGTCAATATAGGATGTTTTTGTTATTTGGTTAGTATTCAGATTTATATCACATTTAAGTTTCCCGGAAAACAAATATACTATTTAAATTATACAGAAAAGGTATAATAAAGAAATGTTAAAAAAGTACAGAAAACTTGGAAAAGATTATATCAAATTAAATAAAAATATATTAAGTTGTAACTTTTTGAATAAATGTAAGGTTTATGGATTAATACCAAAATTTGTAAATTTTAAAACTGCTAATTTTAGGTTCAAAGAATTAAAACAATATAAAGATACTAAAAAAATGTTTTTAGAAAGTGAAATTAAACATAAGGAGAATACATTTAAAAAGCTTGAAAAAATAATAATGGAAGATAAATTACAACTTAAAAAGTTAATTAGTAGCATTGACTTCTTTTGTTTGAATAATAAGATTAAAAGAAATAGCAATACTAAACTGATAGCAATGCGATTAGCACAGAACAAAAAAAATTTAAACTTGAAGAAAAACCAAATTAGTAAATACTTTTCGGGTAATCCTGATGATATGATAATAAATCTATCAAATTATTGTTTAAATGATATTGAAAAGAAAACATTATCTAGAGGATTAGGATTTGCGATCACTGCTAAGAAATTAGAATTTCATGATTATTTATTAGGATTTGAACTCTTATTAAAGGATTTTAAGTGTTGTAAGGTTAATTCATCTGCTCAAATTAATTTTGATAATGTGTGTGTACACATATTACTAGTACAGATTTAAACGGTTTACGAAGTTACAACTTGAATTCTAAACCATGGAATATTAGTTGGCTAGAAAATCAAGCCTTGATAAAGTCAAGTAAGAACAAAGAGTTAATGATTACGAAGCCTGATAAAGGTAATAAAGTAGTCATTATGGATAAGGAAGACTCTAACAACAGGGTTGATGAAATTATTAAGAACAAAAGTAAATTTAAAATCCTTTAAAAAAATCTCACCAAAACCAGAGAAAATAAATTTATTAGTGAGTCGATGTTAAAAGTGTGAGAAGAGAGAAAATTTTGTACATTTGAATTAGATGAGACTTAGTAATTCGGCTATTGTATTTCTTAACTGTATAAAACATTATTTGCACTTGTAATACTGCGAGTCTCAGATTGCAATGAAATTAATTTCAAATTTTTATTTTAGCGCCCTCTAGTGTTAACTGTAAAACTCATGGCAATGTTCTTATCCAGGTTTAGAGAGCAATACTTTATAATTATAGTACCATTAATATTGTTGCGTCTCTGTTCGTTTGTTAATTTCCGGTATAAATTCTTTCTGAGGACCTTCAGCGATACAAGTCCTTTCTTAAATGAAATTATTTTATTATTTCTTGATACAACTTTGTAATACATAGAATTTCCACAATCACTTT